CTAGAGGAGGCTTTGCATAACTTTGTCCTCCAGGAATTCATAATTTTTATGTTATTTTTATTAATTATATCTTTTGTGGTTGCTTTTTTCAAGGGCTATCTTCATTTTTTTTCAGACTTATAAACTACTCAGAAAATACAGTTAAACCAAACCATACTATGTATTGTGTATTGAAAGCACAATATATAAAAAAAAACAATGAGAATAGGAAATTTCAGTGAGTTAGAAGGTCCCAGTGTAATCTGTAAGAATAGAATATTTTAGCACTACTCCAAAGTTTGAAATGCACAAAATTTGTTCTTTGTTTTTAAGATGTTATTGAAATTTAACGTGTTCTTACCTCCAAGATAATCCAAAAATCTGAGTTCTGCTGATTTCATCTGGGGATTAATTCACTGAATAAATTTTCTAAATATTTACAGATCTCTCTAAGGTCTCTAAAGGTCTTTAAATCATTATAAATTATTACCTACCTCAAGTAAAAGATAATCTTAAATGCTGAAGTCCATTCAACCTTTTCAGTTTTATTGAGGTATAATTGACATATGATGTGTTACATATATTTACAGTGTGGTAATTTTTCACATATCTATAATAACTTTTGAAATCATTATTAAATCACAATAATGAACATATTTGTCAAACCCAACGATTTTCTTATTCACCGTTTATAATCCCTTCCTTCTGTTCCTCCTACTCCTCTCCCAGGCTATCTCTGATTTGCTGTTTTATCACTATAGATTATTTATATTTTTTAAAGTCTTTCTATGAATGGATTCAAATAGTGTGTACTGTTTTGGATCTGGCTTCTTTCAATTAGCATAAGTATTTGCTTATGTTTTGATCATTTATCCATTTACCATTTTTTAACTGGAAGGACTATTATATTTCAACAGAAAACAGAAACTTGATTGCTCCTATTGGAAAATTACTAACATTTTCAATGTATGCCAGAGAACATTATATATTTACTTTGTTTGGATACTAGCCTTTACTTTTCTGGCTTCTGCCAAATAAAAAAAGTAATATTTTCCTCTTATGATTTCCTAGGAAACTAATGAAATTGCTAGTGCTTTGGTTCCCAGGTTTTACTATAAAAATGCATACGAACTAGTTGCCAGCCTTCAGTGATTAGAGAATAATAAAACTTTGTTTTTACTGGAGAGAATGCTAAATCACTCTTGGTGCAACAAACAGATGTGAAAGATCTGAAAATAGAAGACACATTTGCACTTACTATCTTTACAACTATTTCATTTTTGGTGTTCTTGGTAAAAAATGGTGACCAGTCTTTTTCTATTGAGAAGGCCCTGGAAGTCAGGCCGCTCTCCTTTTCCTCACTAAGGTATTTTAGTTTTCAATTATAATGTGATGACTTAACTCAGATAGTGAAGCACATTGTGGGAATATATTTTTACTGTCAGTATTATCTTAAAATTTAAAAATAAATGAAGGAATATCACAGTTTTGCTTTTACTTCTTGTATATTTTATGTCACTGCAGGTTTATCAACAGATATACCTTTATCTTTCAGTCTATAACTCTGAAATTTTGCTGCTCAGCAATGGTGCCCATGTTCTGCAGTTTGATTTAGTTTGAGCAGCAAATTTGAGCATTAAAAAATTCCTTCATAAATATATGCTATCCTTAAAGTTCAGTTGATCCAGTTAATTCTGGTTTTTAGATTTGAAAATGTATTACTTAAAAGGCAAGCTCTCTCCTTGGAAGTGACCCAAGTACGGATTTTTTAAATAATGAAAAAGATTTTTGGCCAAATTTCTAAGCTATCCTATGTAGTAAGGAAATAGAGTTTTTCTTTCTTTTTAATAACTGTGCTGATGTGTTTCTGAGATTTTCAGTATAGTTTTTATTTTAAAATATTCAATTTATTTGACTAGGAAACCAGAATTGCTGACATCTTTTATCCTGTTGCATCTTTGGTACTTTCTGTCTTTTAATGTTCCTTTACTGCTATTTTAACTCACTAAAGAAGGAACAGAAATTCAAAGATTAAATATCCCATATTTAACCAGAATCTCCTTAGTAGTTTTTTCTTACTGTTTTATTCTGAAATGGAACTCTTACATAGAAAACTATATAAAACACAGGTATATCACACACAATTATATCACAAATGCCCCTGTAAGTACCATGCAGTTCATGAGCAGAACGGCCAGTCATCCTGAAATCTTCACATGTCCCAGCCCCAACCACAAGTTCATCTCTTCATAAGCAGATTTTCATTGCTTTTTCTTTTGTAGTTTATCGCTTAAGTTTGCAGTTTTAAAAATAGTAAGTTAGGCTTGTTTATTCTCTGTGTCATCGAACTTACAAGTGCTCTCTCCATTCCTATTTTCATGCTACAATTATTTTTGTATGTGAAATTCTCCGTTCACTTGGTGAGTTTTCATACTCTGGATTTTGCTGGTGACGGTCTCATGGTGTAGTTCATGATTCTTGTTTGTGTGTGATTTCTTGAAAATTGGTAGTTACATTGTAGAATCCTGACAGTATTTCTGTTTGTCTGTTTTTGGCAAGATTATGTGTGATATTGTGTGTCCTATCATCATAAACACATCATGTCTGATTATCTCCTTTTTATGATGTTAGTAACAGTTTAAACATCAAATCTAGCAGACCATTTACAGGATTACAAAATGAAAATTTCTCTATTCTGTCACTTCTTTTTTTGATTTACTGTTTGGCATACATCTCCTTGCCTACTATATAAATAAGAGCAGTATAATACATAAAGGAAAGGCAGAATAAATGCTTGATTATTTACCTTTGTTTATAGATTCTCCAGATAACAACTTGACTTCCCTTTTATCCTCGAAACATGGAAAATTTTTATTGTCATATTATGACTTTCATCTTTAATGTGACTCAATTCATTGAAATTCTTTTCCTTACTGAATAAAGTTGTTTGGATAAAGTTCTGAACAGCAGGATCCTCTTCAAGTACCTTCTGATTTCGTTAAATATGACTGTAGTTTTGAAACCTTTGATAGCTTCCTAGATTTCTGGTATGACAACATATTCCAGGCTCATCTGGGAAATAGACAAGTTGTAAATATATCCACGGGGATACTCTGAACCAATGTTCTGAACTGGTTGTAAACTAGTTCTGAAGGGCCCAAAATAGCCACCACACGTTTTCCTCTTTTAAAAGAAACAAGTCAGTCGTTCAACAATAATACAGAACATCATTTTAAAAGTAATTACTGTGAGTCAGATATTGTACTAGTTTCTGAAAATATGATAGTGATTAGCACATAAAACTATACTCAAGGATTTTATAATCTGATGAGGGAAATAAAATAAGCCAAACACCATGCTAAGTGATTTTTGTCAGTCCCATGAGAGTTATAGGAGAAAAAGAAGAGAAAAGGAAAAGGAAAATAATTAAAGATGAAGTGCACCTTTTTCACTTGGAAATTGGTGGGTAGATATAATATTCACTGAAATAGTAAATGCAGGATAGGGAAAGAATTCTGTGTTCAACTTTTCACGATTAGCTAATGTTACATCAGAACCCAGAAAAGAGATGTCTTGATTCAAGTTCATGGGGGATCTAAATACACTAACAAAGAATGTGTTTAAGTGCAACAGTATGAACTTATTGGAAAAGATAAAATATATATGTATATATATCCTGATTATTTTTTATTAATAATGCAATCAACAAGTCTATGCCAACATGCCTGTATTAAACTATTCCAGAACATCCAGAAATCTGATCCTGTGGTAAATCTAGTACAACTGTCTTTTCTTATGCCAGAAGAGTTTCCAACTTAAATTTTTCTTCACAGGATCCAAGTTTTAAATCTCGCATTTAATCTGTCAGAGTGTATCTGTTCTAATCTAGTCTGGATACATCAGTATCAATTTATTTGTTTTTCTTTCCAGAATAAGTATTCCAGAATCATCTTACTTGTTGGGCCCATCATATTTATCCTTCCACTGAAATATCTTTTTAGTGACATTCATATTTGTCTGCAACTTTATCATACTTACTTTATCTTTACTTTTAAAAATAGTGCTTGTTATACTTTCCTGATCCTTTTTATTTTGCCCATGTCAATGAATCAGCTCTTCTCATGACAAAGACAATACAAGCAAAATCATTCTTATTAGGTTATTATCATTATTGAAATGTTTCATGATGAGTCACTTTCTGATTCATTATTTCAGCAAGAATTTTAATCTATTTTAGAGTAATATCCTAGGCTTTTTACCTGCATAGACTTTATTTAACAGTATGATCCATTTCTCTTTATTGAGCCAACTGTTATAGACTGCTGGTATAATTTCCAAAATGTAAAATTGTCATACTCATAGAAATATGAACAAAGGTCAAAGATTTATTAAACTCATTGATGAATGATAGAACCAGCAAGATTCTGATTCCAAAGAAAATTTGAGGAGGTAGTTTTTAATAGGATTTAAATGTGGGATGTTTTGATAAGATAGATTAGATACAAAATTGATTAATAGTCTATATATTAAGGTGTAATTTGTGTTTTCATTTTAGCCAGACATGTGATTTGCATCTCCTTCTAGTTAAACTATGCAAGCCAACATGTAGTTAGTACACAGTGAGTCTAACAAAGTACATTCCGTTCATTTTTTATAGTTTTTATAGTCTCATTCTTTGTGCCCTCTATTACAGTGAAAGGACAGCCATATCACACTTCTTTTTGCCTTGTTTCCAAGTTGTAGACAATGTTTAATAAGACTTCTGTACATTATACTGAAAGAAAAGGTTTTCTTTAACTCTGAGGACAGTTTGTGACCAATTCATGAAGTAAATTCTTTTTTAGTACTTTGTAAGTTATGTAAACCACTGCCTAATCTTTCATACTGAGTTTTTAAAAGTTTTTTTAATACTGAATTACTTTAATTGGACATGAAGGTAAGGCGAAGAAGATTTTTACATGCTTAATAAATTAAAAGTAATTTGCTATGGAATAAACTCTGCATTTTTTTATATTCCCTAGGGTTTTCCGGGAGATATTGGAATTCCTGGACAAAATGGCCCAGAAGGACCAAAGGTAAATAAATAAATAAATACTAAATATAGATAGTGGTAATCTCAAATCTCAATGAAGAGGAAGCAGATTTTTATACATTACAATATTTCTACATTTCTGAAATTTTTAATAAACTTTTTTTGAGTTCAGGAGTCATACGATTGAAAATTATTTTCATGGTTTCATATAGTTTAATATTAGGGTGACTATTTACAAATCATGTAAGTCATTAAAGAATTTCTTAGAGGATATGGAAAATGCAACAATTCTGAAAATCCATAGGATACAAAAAATGTTTGAGAATTTTCTGACTACTTATCTCACTGGAGCTGATAAAATATCTACTAATAAAAACAAAGCATGTAGTATCCTGGTGCCTTCACATAGCATAAAATATCTGCAGAAACCTATGCATTCTTAACTTCCTGGGTTGCACATGTATAGTAGAAATTATCCACAGCAAAATTTTAAAAACTAGATTTTGTCTCATAGGCTGCTTTGGCATTATAAGCAGATAAGCTTTATGAATAAAGGCCAGAAATGACAAAGGCTGAAGTTTGGAGGATTCACCAATTATGGAGATTAGCTGCCGTGGGAAGTATCAGTGTAAAATAGCGAGGGGAAGGGATAGGAGAAGCTGAAAAAAGGTAATAATAGCTAATTGGTTAGTGAGCTATATTGTCAAGTAGTATAGTACTGCAGTAAATGTTTTACAGAAATTATGTAAAACGAAAACAATCAGAAGCATCTCATTTAATTTTCACAGTAGTCGTAAGAGACAGATATTATCCCTATTTTATAAATAATATTTACTCAATATCATGTGTTATAGGTAGGATTTTGATGCAGATATGATTAGTGTCTGAGATCTTAACCACTTAGCTTTGGAGAACATTCAGTACCATGAATAGTTTCTACTTTATCCTATTGATATTAGGTATTAATCAAAGATATTTAAGTAGTAAGGTGTCCTAGATGGTTTATGTTTTAAAAAGTAACCTCTCATATCAGTATGGAGGATGACTTAAGAGGGGTACAGTGAAAGGCAGGGGAATGAGCTAGAAAAAGGTAGACAAGAAATAATAAAGATATAGGGCCAGGGATTTAGCTCCGTGGTGCTGCCACCTGCCTCGCAAGCACAAGGACCGAAGTTTGTCCCTGGTACCAGAGAGAGACAGAGAGAGAGAGAGAGAGAGGGAGGGAGGGAGAGAAGGAAAGAAAGAAAGAAGCACATTCATTCAGCTAGCAAGTATTTATTTGCTGGCTTTTTTTGACAGCCATCATGTTAGCTAGGGCTACAAGTCCTGATTCTTTCTTTTAAGAAACGTACAAAATGACTCAAGTTTATTCTTCTTTATGGCAGAATAGTACTCCGTTGTGTATAAATACCACATTTTCTTTGTCCTCTCATATGATTGCATGATTCCTCCTATATGAAAAGCCCAAATACTACACTGTATCTATGGAGGGAGAAAGAGAGGGAAAGGGGATGAAGAAAAGCATTCAGATGTGTTATATACAACTCCCCACAAAGAATGTAGTCAATATATCATGCAAATATATACTAAGAAAAATAAAATTTAAAAGGAGCGTACGATATGTATATGCAGGAAATCTTTATAACAATCATTACAGAAAAGGTAACACGAGTTGACATGAATGATTGAGCAGTATTTGCAAAGCAGATATATGGGGTGTGTGGCATTCGGGGAAAGGGAACTTCTGAGAGGTCAGGAGCTATATTTGAAAGTGTTTAAACCAAAAGCTATTTGTTATTTATCTGAAACTCAAATTTAACTGAGTATTTTGTCTGGCAAACCTACCTACCGCCTACAGATGTATCCCTATATGAGAAAATTTTCTCTCTTCTGTCTCCATAAAAGTATTCCTCTGTCTGTTCATGTTCCACATGTGCTTTGCATCAAGGTCTCTCCTGAACAACAACTTCATGACATCAATTATAGTTTTTATTTCAATTTCTCCTTTACTCAAAATTTCCCAATTGCCCTTAAAAACCACCTCCCCTGCCAATTTTTTAGTTTAGGCCCTCTCTCTTTTTTTTTTTTTTTCATGAGGATTAGTTTAAGAGGCTCCTGTTATTCTCCCTGCCTCCAGTCTGGCATTTCTTCAGTTCTCCAGCCAAGTTGCTGATGGAATAATGTTTGTAGAGAACAGATCTCTCTTGTCACCTCTGAGTTTAAGTCCTCTAGTGATCTCTACATCTTCCAGGTTAAGGCTTGTGCTTCTTTCCTTTACCGCCATGCTCTTTATGCCTTTCTGTCTTCTGATTATATAGTCGCAGTCGCATTTATCATCATTCTTTCAAAACCATCGCTTCAGCCAAACTGTTTATATTATCAGACTATGCGGTATTTGTTCAAATCTCACAGCTTCTTCTATGCTGCTCTTGGGCCCGGGTGTGGATATCTCTGTACGTTCCTATGCCCTTCTTCCTTTAGCTATCATCACTTTTTCCTGGCAGCTTTCCCTGTTGCTGTCAAACGCCAATGAGATATGTTTCCTTGTATTTATGAAAAATGTATCAATCACTTATATTGCTGTTGTGCTTTTCAGACTATTAGACTACAAACTTTTTTGAAAAAAGAAGCTAATTCATTTTGTTTTTCCTTTTATTGAGTTTATTGGTACATTTTAGGTACACAGTACAGTTACCATTCATTATTGGGATCCTGTACCTTTACATGACAGGTCTTGGTTCTCATTTTTTCCCTTGTCCCAGCCCTCCCTTCACCCCCTCCTCCCCTCCCCATTTACAAACACTTTATTTCCATTTTCTCATATTTTTCCCTTATTACCTTTCCCCTACCCTTCCTACTTTCCCTACACCTTTAGCCCTTTTCTTCCCATTTCACAATGTCAGTTATCTCATTAGGATCTTATGTACTATTACAGTTTATTCACACCAGAGAAGCTAATTGATTTATATATAGTACATCATCCAAACTGGAATAATAAGCATAGCACCTAAGAGGAATGCAGTTAATAATGGTTGAGTGGATGATTGATTGAATGGCTATAGGTAAAAGCTATTTTGGAAATAGAAATAAGACAATTTGGTTAAATAAATGTGATAAGAGAAAAAGAAATCCGAAGTAAAACTTAGACTAACTTAGGCAACTGATGTTACTGAATTTACATGAGGAAGTTAAATAGGGGAAGTCAAGGGTACTTTTAGATTTGAAGGGTAAGGAAGACAACAAGTTTGATTTTGGAGATATTTAGAGATACCTTTTTGGACAGTACACAAAAATAACTGGTAGTCAGTGGTAAACCAAGGTGAAAAACGTAACATGAAGAGCTATAAAGACAGGTCAATTGTAGGGAATTGGAGTTGAGATTTCTCCTGTTTCCTGTAGCCCTTAACTTGATGCATACTCAGGAACTCAAACTTTATATACACATTAATTTATCTATTCATTCAATAATTCTTTCACTCAACCTGTGTTGAGTTTTTCTGTATTAGGATAGATGCTAGATGTGAATTACAAGGATTTCTAAATTATGATCCCTTCCCTGGATAAGGTTACTATACAGTGGGAGCAAAAAATTATGTTTTGTGATGTTTTGTGAAGCCTCAGTAAGTAAGATTAGATTTTGTCTTGGGAAATTCAGAAGTAATCATTGAACTTATGTTTACATATGACATCATACTAAATGAAGAATAAAATAGCTTTCAAAATTATTTTCACTTGGAAATTTAATTTTGCTTGAAATTTTAGCAAGAAAAATATCAGAGATCTGAAAAATGTGATTATAATAGCAGTGTTTAAAATTTCCTTTTTATTACATTTGTTATCTTGAATGAAATGCTGGAAGTTGGTCCCAAACTCTGATAACTACACATTTTAATTCAACTACTAGTTGAATTTCCAATGAGCAATGGTTATCTTTTAGATTTTTTTAATCTAAATTTATTAAGTAGATTTGAGCTTATAAACTCATTAGCACCAACAACATAAGATGAATTGATTTGATACTGGTCACTAAATCTTAAAACCATATTGTAGTATATATCCTTTACTTTGCTCTTTATTTATATTTTGGTTCTCTCATATAAGAGAAACCATGCAATATTTAAATTTATGTGTATAATTTGTTTCACTTGATATTATGGAGATCTTTTTTCAGATGGGCAGGTGAACAAGAGATGGAGCAAGAAGGAGGGAAGGAATGGAAAAGGGATAACAAAAAGAGAGAGGAAAGTGAAAACACGTTTTTCAAATGAGAAGGGGAACAAAAATTGGAGGGCGCATGGAGGAACTGGATGGGAAGAGGACAAAAAAGAATTGAGATATATCATGTGCATATACAAACTCCGTATTATTGATGTAATCATTATGTACTGCAAACGTGTACTAATAAAAAAAATTGTAGAAAAGATGATTTTAACAAAAGAACCAGAAACTTTAATGGAAAAAGAATATGATTGTATGTTTTATAGGTTGAGAAAGATATTTTTGTCTAGTTTCTTGTTCCAATTTGCCTTAGCTTGCTTTCTACAAATTGGAGAGAAACCGAGCCAAACATACTGGCCCTGTTAACATGGTGTGTTTTAGCTATGTAAACTGTATCATATAAGCATCTTAAAAATGTCCTCTATTTTCATATACCTGTCTTATTTGGAAAGTGAACATAATGTAAATTACCATAGATCTGTTGAGGCTAAACAACACAGTTCTCAAGAAAATCATGTGCACTATATTTGAACAAAATGATTATCCTATTTACAAACAAACTGGGTTCTTTCCAGGGCAGTTTGGCACAGTTCTAAAGAAGGCTTTTATTTGCTGTTCACTTTCTGCTAGCTGGCTAAAAACTTCAAACTAGGGTTGGAAATTTGTGTTAATTATAGTTCTACTGATTGTGGGGTTGTATGTGTATGTATATTTGTACACAGATGCAAAACATAACTCAGTCAATCTTCTTGAGAGCCACCCAATTTGGTAATCTGTTTTCTAGAATCCTGTAACATTAGCAAAACCACATCCTTTGCTGCTTAC